TCCTCTGCTGCCCTGCACCTTTTCTAGCACGGGATCTTTTTCCAAGGTCAGGCTCCGGTTGACAGTACACCTGAAATATATGGGACGAAGTGTCACCATCCTTGCCACCAAGGAGTGTCCTGCTTACACTTCTTCCAAGAGAGATTTGCTTCTTCTTTTGACAGTCCATAATAGAGTCAGTACTCTTCAGTAAGACAGTAATTAAAGTCATTGATTCTTCAGTCTTTCTTATAAACTGCACAACTTTCAGATGCTTATGAAGAGATTGAAAATATCAAGGCTTGGATCAGGTACACCTTTGTTTTTAATCTGGTATCTTTGCTCTTCCAGCATCTTCAAGAGGTCATTCAAAATACCACAATAAAGAAGATTTATAGTAAAGATAAAATTATATTTATCATAAAGATAAAATTATACATAGGCATATAAGAGAACCAGAATAGAGAGTTCAGAAATAACCTCAAATATATACTTACTTGAATTTTTACTATAATGTTAAGATAATGCAACTAATTAGTGTTTCTGGGACAACTGGATACTGTTTGCACACACACACACACACACACACACACACACACACACTTAGACAATGTAACTTAACCCATACCTTATAGTATTGCAAAAATTTTTTATGCAAAAATTAGTCATGAGTGAGTCCTAGATCTATACATGGACTTAAATTAGAAATTTTGTAGAGGGGAAAATGGGAGAAAAGTCTTTGTGATCTTGAATTAGATAAAGATTTCTTAAGGTCGGATACAGAAAGCACAAGCACTGAGAAAATCTTGATAAATTTGCCTTCATGACTTTTAAGAATTTCTTCAAAGACTCTTTTCAAAAGACACTTACAAAAATGGAAAAATAAATCTCAGACAAGGAGAAAATATTTATACAATGCATTTCTGTCCTTTCTCATTGCTGCCTTCCTCAAGCTCCCGTCTAGAATCCATGTAATGAATATTTTTCCACTTTCTGTCTGCTTTCCTCCCGCCGCCCTAGTTATTTCTGCCATCATTCCTGGCATAATTCTCACAGTATTGTTACAAGTGAGGGTTAGAGAACAGATTGAGCTCTAAATTGTGAGGTTGCAAGCCCCATATCTTAAAATCCACTGCTTGGGGCAATGGGAGAGGGAAAACCTAGCACCAGAGTCGGGAGAGAGAACAGGTCAGGATGCGTGGTGTGATGGGCCAGCACGCTTAAGCATCCCAGCACAAGCTGAGAGGTTAGAGGTTTAAATCCACGTAAAGGGGCCTCAGAAGATAGTCCTGAGATCCTGCTTCTTTTACATCCTTGGAAAGCCCATGGAGCAATTCTGCACACACAAGGTCGCCATGGATCAGGAGCAACTCAAGGGTAGCTAAGAGCATCAGCCTGCTACCTTATTATCTCATGCACATCAAGAAGCAAACCGTGGGCCTTGGAACCAAAAAGTGCATTCAACAGTCACAACCTTAAGTATCTAGACTGAGCACACATACTATGCCGGCCTGTGTGTTAAGAGAATCACTTCCGTCATTTCATCTATATGTAGGAGAAACATCTGTGTATGGAGTTAGCAGGATTAAGCATACAGGGAACCCCTAACGGCTTTCAGCAGGATTTCACCTGGACCCTTCCTCCCTTCTTCCTGCAATGACTTTCCTTCTTCCCACATCTCTGACTTGCTTTGTTCTCTGGACTCCCTCTGGATTTGTCCCTGCCTCCATGTTTTTTGGTTTTACAGTCTTGAGATTACTGGATCAGGCTTGAGATTTAACTTACTTGTTTGAAGCTTCAGCCAGTTGTAATGTCCCTGACTTTATAATTTCTTAGTCCTTATATCTGTTAACCCTTCCTCCCACCTCCCCCTTTCTCTCTCCTTCCTCAAAGCTCTCAGCCAAATTCAGTTCATAGTGTGTGATATATCTGGGGTGAATTTTAATCTCATGTATTCCCAAATCCACAGTCAACGGTCTGGAATGAAGGGGTATCTCTTTTATGAGTCGTTTTTGTTCTGCTGTCCTTACACACCACTGTAGGCTTAGCTGTAGGCAGAAGACCTCAGGCACTTATGAAGAATATAGATTAAACAGGTCAGACTGAAAAGGTAGCTGCGGAGCATATATGTCTTGTCACAGCTGTGAGGATGTCTTGATTGATGTGAACCAAATTCTAGTGTGTGGATGATCTTGGTGTTGGATGGTCAGCACCAGTGGTAACCAGGGACTTGCAGTCGGGCATAGATCAAACATAAGTTCAATAGGGACGAAACCAATGTTTTCTTCTAGCTCTTTCTACAGTTAGTTATCCCGTGAGACTATGGGCCAGGGACCAGCCTGGGAGGGAAGGTTCCAGTGCCTGACAGTGTGTGTTCTCCAGAAGGTCGGAAGGACCTTACATGTTTCCTCTCAGCTTCTTCCTTCCCGGCAGCAGCACCGGGACAATGATAGATGTGCCCTTTACAGTTGGTTTACAAGAGAGCTTGACAAATTAATTGGCCACAAACAGCGAGGGTGAGAGTATCTCCCTTCGTTTACTTCAGGCACCCCTGGGGCACACAGTCCTCCCTGCCTCTTCCATTTTAAATCAATGTGACCATGTAATCGCAGGGTCTGTGCTACTTTTAAAAAACTGAACTGTGCCCAGTGGCACACCAGGAGGATTCCAATGCCTTTCTTGGCCTTCTGAGGATGTCAAAGAAATGTGTTTCTCGTCTCTGTGTCACAGAGGAGGAGGAGAAGCTATGTGTGGGAGAAGCAGAGTGAGACACCTGGCCACAGTGTCCTCCACTGCCCCAACCTTCCATTTAAGAAGAATCCAGAAGGTGAGACACCTGGCCACAGTGTCTTCCACTGCCCCAACCTTCCATTTAAGAAGAATTCAGAAGATGCTGCCTGTTATTTAAAAGGGGCGGGAGATGAGGCTTTCCAACTTTGACATGGGCTTTTAAGAGTTAACCTGCATCACAGCCCACACTCTAAACCGAAGTGGTTGACACTGAGTTGATCCAGACTCCTGGGAATGCCATGTGATTCAGAGTAAAGCTGTGTTCCATGCGGTTTCAACAGCTAGGATGTTTTAGAAGTGCGCTGTCAAGCTGTTCTTCCAAGATACCTCTGCTGGGTTCAAACCTCTGACCTTCCAGTTAGCATTTGAGCACTTAACCCACTCGCAGTACCCAGGGACTCCTCATCTGCCATGGTAAGCCTTCAGTTTTAGAATGGTGAAATTGGAAAAGTCAGGTTCACATGTTTCCTAGAATTCAAATTCTCCCATCTCCATAACCTGATAATTTGACAAACCAGGAATCTGAGGGTGAAAAGATTATTGGGGATTTATTAAGTTTCCTCTGCTTGTGGAAGACCCCCAACCTGTCCCTTAAGCCAGGTGGTTCTTACTCATGGTGACCTCATGGGGTACAGGGGACAGCTGCCCTATAGTGTTTTCAGCACTTGTAATATTTAGGGAAGTGGATTGGCAGGCATTTCCCCCTCAGCACTGGTGGATAAGTAGGTTCAAACGCAGACAAACCATTTGAGACATTCAGGAAAACAAATGAGTGGAAAAGTTGAAACTTAAACCTTACCATTTTTTTAAAGCCTTTCTAGTATGTTTTGGGTGATGGTTTACAGAGAAAACTAGTTTCCGGTTGAACATTCACACACATTTGTTCATGACATTAGCAGTGATCCTCCACAATGTAGCAGCATTTCACCCATTTCTTCTTTATGTTTCCCATTTCCATCTGGCCTCCTGTTCTTCCTTCCTGTCCCTTCCTGCCTTCTGAGCTCTGGTTTTGGCCGAATGCTGTTCTTCTGGTCTGGTATGATTGACTGAAGCCTTATTGTTATGGCTGAGTGCTATCCAGTTGCTTTTTTATTCAGAGCATCAGGAATACATCTTGCCCTGGCTTCAAACACTCTTTCAAGGGGATGGTGGCGTTTACTACTGAGAATTTACAGGCAATATAAAGATGGTTCAGAAGTGTGATAAAACAAGACCTGATTGGCAGTGAGAGTGGACTTCAAGGTAGTGGTTCTGGCTTTGTCCACTCTTTCCGACTCGTACCCGTGGTCAATTCGCTGGCCCGATGCTGGCAGGAGGAACCAGAGGCTCGCAGCTTGCAGAGCTCAGAAAGTTGCATTGAGAGCTGTTGCTCTCGCTGTGAACCACCCGGGCCCAGCCCCTGTTGTAAATTTCCCTCCCAGCCCACGTGACAATATGCTTCTACTATATATCCGGCTCCAGCTGCCTGGTTGTCAGACCTCAGAGCCAGCTGGGGCGAGGAAGGAGCCCGTGGACTTGGCGATTCAGCACTTGTAAACTTGGGACGATTCTGCCAGGCTTTGGTAAGTTAAGAATGATTGTTTTGCTTTAGGAACATTTCAGAAAGCTACTTGCTGACAATTGGTGCATTCAGTTTCCCTCGCTTTTGTTTGTCCTGAAAACACTTTGCTTTGAATGAAAAAGAGTTTTACAGTTTTGGAGCAAAATGCAATTTTTTTTCTGCTAAGTCAAATATTAATAATAAAGAGATATTTTATTTCCTGGTGTTTAAATTTCGTTTCATTTCTTATTTTTATTTTATTATTATTTTGTGTGCATGTACCGTCAAATCGGATCTGACCGGTACAGGAGGAGATTGTCCCTCCTTCTCCAGCAGTGCATCTGGTGGATAAACTTCGTTTCATTTCTTTAGGCTACTTAGTTGAATTTTCCATTTGGTCCTTATTTTAAAGAATGCAAGTATACTTATTCATACTTATTTTGAGAAATGTCACCAGGAGAGGCATGTATAAAATGAAGACTGAAAGGCTTCCTTCTTCCGCCACCCTCTCCTGCCTTCTGTCGCATCTACTTGCACCCTGCAAGGACTCACCCCGGGTCACGTAGATGCACGCGTGCGCTCAGCAGCTCTGTGGACACTGCGTTTTTTAGAGGCTCCTGTAGAGAGGGCCGATGAGTGAGGACTAACCTGGAGCTTTCTCCCCAGACCCCACGCTGTGAGCTGTGCTTCAATGCTGGAGATGGAGGCCCTGAACAGCACCCACGCCAGCACCGCCGCCTCCAGCAGCCCCGCTGCGTCCCACGTGGCCAGCAGCGCCAGCGGCAACGAGTACTTCTATATCCTGGTGGTCATGTCCTTCTACGGCGTTTTCCTGATTGGCATCATGCTGGGCTACATGAAGTCCAAGCGGCGGGAGAAGAAGTCCAGCCTGCTGCTTCTCTACAAGGACGAAGAAAGGCTCTGGGGCGAGGCCATGAAGCCCCTGCCCATGGTCCAGGGCCTGCGCTCGGTGCACGTGCCCATGGTGCTGAATATGCTGCAGGAGAGCGTGGCGCCCGCGCTGTCCTGTACCCTCTGCTCCATGGAAGGCGACAGCGTCAGCTCCGAGTCCTCCTCCCCAGACGTGCACCTCACCATCCAGGAGGAAGGGGCGGATGACGAGCTGGGGGAGACTTCCGAGACGCCCCTCAACGAAAGCAGTGAAGGCTCTTCAGAGAACATCCACCAGAATTCCTAGCACCCCCAGGGCCTCCGGAGGTGACCCCTTCAGCCAGCACCCTTAGCGAGAGCTAGGATACCGTACAAGTGTCCGCTTTCACTTTTCCAGGGCAGCTGCCACTTTGGAGAGACCCTCGGTGTATCCCCAAGGTGGGGTGGGGTGGGGGACAAGGCCTGGCAGAGCCAGCAGTGGCGAGAAGACCTGGTGGGCTGTGTGGTCTCGCCCCACCACTCAGGATGCCCGGGGACGTGCGAAGCATATACTCACTCTGGGGCTGGGTATCGGGGTTCCTGCTCAGAACTTGGTGAAGGACCATGTGTGTGCCTTTGTGGTCACTCTGGTCTACCGTGGTAACCCCTGCAGCAACAGCCAGCCTCGGGGCTGCTTTGGACAGCGGAGGGCATGGTTTTGAGTTGTTACCTTGAGCTTTGTTTTTTTTGGATCTGGTTGGTACCTCGAATATGTGCCGGTGACATTAACTTCCCAACCAGCTCCAAAGCTCCTTAAAGGATTAAAGGAAACCATTTGATGGAAGACTTTTGATGGGAGAAAGCTGGAGAGCTGAATCTGACCAGTTTGTATCCGGTAAAGGAAAAAGAAAAAAAAAAAGAGCAACTTTGAAATCTGTTAACTTTGGCTGGGATTCTGGGAGGTGATCTGTTTTGAACCTCTGTTTAACCTATGACCTTTAGCTCTCTGACCTGTGACTGCCTAGCATCAAATACTGGTCAAATGATGCCCCTCCCCCTCCCCCGCCCCTCGGTCAGAAGGGCTTACCTAGGATCTGACCTGGACTCTGAATGTCCACTTAGGGGCCTCTCACTGACCTTTCTAGAAGGGAGGTTGTGCGAGGACACACCATTAACCCTGCTGCTACTTGCTTTCCCAGCGGCATCTTCCGACTTGGGAAGAAGGACGTTAAGGGGCCTAGGCTGTGTGGTATTCCGTCACGTAGCTGGGACGGAGAAGGGTGATCCCAGGCAGAGATTGCACAAAGCCGAGGCCAAGTTCTGTGTTTCCTAGTCCCTGGCCCTGACACTCGTCCACTGTGTGGTCCTCGGCGTGTCACCAAAAGGCTTACAGCCTTCATGAGAGGTCTGATGGTCCCCATCCCAGGGGGCTGGGAGGATGCCGTTCGATTTGGAAGGCTCTGTGATAAACCCTGTAAGGTCTGGCGTGAGGAAACAGGAAGAGAACAGCGTATTTCTTTCTCGGCTAGTTAGTCGGCGGAAGGCTGGGGTCTGCTTATTTGTAGAAGCAATTGGAGACTTCAAGCCCATGCAACTGGGGAATTTAGGGTGAACCACCGGGTTTAGTTTTCCCAGGCCTGAAGCACACAGGCAGAGACCACATTTCTGTCTGTACAGCTCTGAGGAGAGATTCCTGGTGGCCAAATGTTAACACTCTGCATTAAGAGAGTGAGAAATCTTTAAAAAAAACCCACCACAACAAAAAAGTTCCTGGTGTCCTGTGGGCCAGTATTCCCATAGACTCCCAGATCTATGAAGGAAAAGAGGAAGAGAAAGGTCAAGTTTAATTCTAGTAAAGAATTTTTTGCTTCTTTTGAATAAAAGAACTTAATCTCCTTGGTTTGGAGACATGACAACAGGGAAGACTTAAAAGAATAGGAGCTGATTTACCGACCTGCCCATATGCAGGGCAAAGGAAAATTCATGTTTGCAGAGGGTGGGCTGAGGAAGGCCACTGTTCACTTTCAAATTCAGAGTGTGGATTTGCTCCAAAGGGGGTTGTTTAAGTTGAAAGCAGCCAAGTTCAGTTTGGCCCCTTGCCTGGAATCACTTGAATCCTGAAACTTTACTGCGAGAGACATGTGCACTGTCACATTTTCCACTGCTTTATCCTGAAGCAGGGTGCATGTCTCTGCGCTTGTTCAAAGCCATGTGTATCCTCCCTCCTCGTTCTGTTGAGTTGTATAGAACTGTCATCTGTATTTAACAGTTTGTAATGTTCACAGTATTTTTAATTTAAATAAACAAACACATTTCTACCCCCTCAGGAAGTCATGAATTCTTTGATTTTTATTTTCAACCTAACTCCCAGTTTCTAAGAAACACTGACACTATTCGCCAAGTCCTGTCTGGATTGTGCTCACTTTCCAAGCCAGCGACTCTCTGAGGTGTATCTTATTTCTGTCTTCTGCCCGGGCTAAGCAAGGCTTGGCTAGCTCCTTCCATGAGACACATTGCAGTAAATGGAAAACAAGCTGCAAACAGTCTTTCACCAATAGCTCTGGTGTTCATTTAGTGGCCTGGTGCCTGTTGGACTTGAACCTGCAGTGACATGGCTACTGCCTCAATGATGTTCCGAATTTGGCTGCAAGAAAAGGTTTGACTTGCATGTTGGCTGGGCAACTATTATTACCCACACGCAGGGCCCCCGCAGAAGGGCTGACAGGCAGCAGCAGTCAGTGAAGTTCAGTCTGTCTGCAGACTACACTTGACAGTCTTTTCTCTCTGAAGTTCCTCCCATCCAAATCTAATCTCCAGGTCCCTCCTACTTGATCCCTATTCCCTCTTTCCCCTCAGTTGGGCTAAAGGTTTGGATAATACTCTGCTGCCCTTTTTTTGTGGGTGGTACATGACCCAAAGAGCTGAAGATAGAGCTTAATGAATCCCTTTGAACCTAGCACATTGTAGATGTGTTCTCAAGTCTTTCTGTTTCTTTTGAATTTGGCTTTTTAAATGACTCTTTCCATGAGTTCCAGAAAGCACTGTCTCCTTAAAGTACAACCAGAGCTGTCGTCTCCTAGCCCGGTAAGAACTGCCTTACCCACAGAAGACAAGAAGGTGGTTGGTTGCAAAAGAGGAGAAAACCGCTGTTTATTCCAGCTCAATGTCTTTCTTGGTAAGGAAATAGTTAAGCACAGCAAAGATTTGACCAGAGGCGGAAGAAGAGGGAATTCTAAACTCTAATTGTCCTAAAAATATGCAGAGTACACTCTGTCGTTTTAATGGAGTATTTGTTTTCCTTAAAAAAAAAAAAAAAGAAAGAAAGAAAAGAAGTTCTAAGCAGAACGTAAGGCCCAAGGGGTTTGGTCTGTGTGGAGTTACTCATGCATGTGAGAATTGGGGCAGGGAATTTGGCCCTGTGCACCTTAGGCTATTGGAACCATATTTTAAAACACTTAAATGTTAGACATGAGGTAAATAGATGGTCTCGCTGGCTCCATGCTGTTCTAATTACACCTTTAGACGTCAGAGGCAGGCAGGGATGCTGCCGAGCGAAAGATTTCCTTCATGGACAAGATCATGGGGTCCAAACTACCGGGAAAGGCTGAGGTCGTGCCAATAAATGAGTGCTCTTGGCAGCTCTGGTTGGAAAGTAGACCCCCTGGTGTACTTGGGAGCTGGGTGGGAGGTTTTCTTGGTCAGGCGCGCACTCCTAGGACCCAGCTGTGCAAGGGCCATTGATCATCCAGTGGAGTGCTGCTCCCGCTCTGGATTCTGGCACAGACAGAACATTGAGCTGGAAATTTATACTCCAGGTTTGGACAGAACCCACGTTTGCACAATAACCTTACCCTTAAAGTTAGGCACACCATTGCTGTAGAAGTTGCCAGGGGAGTGCAATGGGCCAAGGCACTGGAGGTGGAGTCTAGGACTGCGGTGGGTGAGTGGGGTGAAGCTGGGGAGTCCTGTCAGCTGATAGACCAGGATGCCTGCACGAGCAGGGCTGGAAGTAGGGAAGGCAGGTGATGGAAGAGGTTTGAGGAAGGGCTCCATGGTGCTGGACAAACGCTGCACCCCCTCCGACCTACAGTTTCCCTCTTTTACCATGCTGGTCTCCCCCGTTGAGGAACTTATGATAAGAGGGAGAGTGGAACATTCTGAGGGATTCTGAGCACCACGTGCAACAAAAGGAAACACCACTTCAGACTGCTGCTTTTTAAACTCTGTCCCAGCATGCACCTCAAAGAATGTCACAGGAGCCGCCTCTTCTGTAAAGGGTTTCCCCAGGAGACGGAAATGTTCAGAAAAAAGGACACAATTTGCCAGAGGAGAAGGGTCACAAGAGAGAAAAAACCACTGTTCAACTCTGTCTTCCCTCATTTCGGAAATGTTTCCACCCACACAGGAAAGAACAGTTTGGGATGTGAGCCGAAACCATGGAGACGACAAGCAAGGTCACTGGCTTGAAGGCTCCGTGGACCTCAGGGTGTGGAGGAGGTCAGGGCAAGGATATGGATTTGAGGTCTGCACTTTGGTTCAGGTGATTTTCAGGGTACCTGCACCTCCACTTGCAGGGTGGGAAAGGCGTGCAAGGGAGCAATTTCTCCTGGGGTCCCCTACCACTGTCCTTACTCTCAACTTTTAGAGTCTGGTCCTCCTGTTGTGAGGGGATTATTTCTTACCTTGCTTTCCCTTGCTGAGATTCAGGAGCAAAGAATTCTTCACAGTACTATCTGTATACTTCTTCTGCCTTTGCTGTTGGTAGGACCTGTCCTCCGAGTCAGTTCCCAACTCATAGCAAAACCAGGTGTGGTATAGTAAAGCTAGAGAGACCTGGTCGCATGCCACTCCCATCTGAGGCTGCAAGTCACACTTTTCTGAGTCATAGAAAGTTCCCTGCTGATTTTTAGAAGGAGGTTAAATGGACAAAGTTAATTTAGCCAATTTTTGCTTTGCTCTGTGATAGCTGCATCTTTTTAATGATCTCATTTAACCCTGCCAAACTGAGCTAAATGTGTTAGGATTTTAGCATATATGTGAATATATCTTAGTTGTTAGGTGATGTGGAGGGGCTTCCCACCCACAACTGCCCGGCGTACAGGAGAATGAAACACTGTTTGGTCCTGTGTCATCTGCACCATCATTGTTATATTTAAGCTTATTGTTGTGGCCGCCACATCAACCCATTTTGTTGGGGGTATTCCTAGTTTTTGCTGATTTTACCACGTGTAATGTTCTTCTCTAGGGACTGGTCCCTCCTGATAACATGTTCAGAATACGTGAGATGAAGCCTTCTTCCTAATTCCTGAGACGCTTTCTATACTTCTA